TCTCTTCCACTATTCACCATCCTTTGACTTGTTCTCCTCCTCCAACTTGTATTCACTCTGCTTGCTCCTGCTATTGTTGCTTCCAATCGAGTAGATGTTCTGGTTGCTTCCTGCTGAATACGCGTTGTACTTCAGCCCACTTCCTGGCTGATACGACCCTGATCCACCAAAGTAGTTTGATGATCCAGGCGTGAAGTAGGCGCTATTCTGGTTTGATGCCGGCTGATAGTAGTTTGATCCAGGCGACTGGTAGAAGGTGGATCCAGGATTCACGTAGGACGAATTGGGGGAGTAGATGGCCGATCCACTGAAATTGGATCCAGGCGACATGTAGGCGTTGCTGGCTGGTGATACGGCGTAGAGGGAGGCCGGACTCATCCCAGAGAAGTATTCTGGGACTGAGAAGGTGACTGACTCGGCATTCTCGTGCTCTGGTGAAAATGGTGCTGCCTCTTCCGCCAGTCTCAGGTTGTTGGAGGCAACTGCTGCTATTTCGCTGAAAGCAGGCGAATTCAGCAGCAGCCCCCCAGTGGCCCTGCTCTTGGCCTCGTTCATTGCCGAAAAGAGCATCTGGTCGAGTCTCTCGGTGTCGAGCAGCAGCTCCACGTTTCCAGTTCCAAGTGGCGCCAATTGGCCCATCATGATGTTTTCGGTGATTCCATGAGACGGATTCGTCTCAGCAGAGGCTGCTGCCTCGAGCAGAATGTCGACTGTCTCCTCGAACGATGCTCGTTTCAGTGCGCCTGCCTTCACCTCCCTGTTTACGCCGTGTCTGGTGATTCCAGCTGGATACCCGCAAAGTGTCATCACGTCAGAGAGGAGACCAAGGTGCCTCTGATTCACGTACGACCCGTTTCCCTCGATGACCAGGCACAGCTCGTTCAGAATGGTCTCCCTCACTGCCTCCACTCCCAGTGTCTCGTAGACGACGTAGAAGTCGTTTACGGTCGTAGACGACGCATCCACGTTTGGAAGGCCAAGGATCTTTCGGAAGGAGATTCCGTCCGTTTGGAGAGACCACGACGAGTCGGTCTCGACCAAATGGGCCTTTTTGACGCCAGCGAGGCCCTGGATGCTCAGGTCGAGGAGGCCGTCGATGCAGTGCTGGTAGGCGGAGAGGGCGCCGTCGGAGACGAAGGGAGTCGACTCGTCCGTCTCCAGCACCAGGCGGATTCGCACCACCGCCTTGTCGTCTGTCACCGTCTGAATTCCAAGGCCATCCGCCTTGAGGTGTCTCTCAATGCATGAAATGACGTAATCGAGGCTGATTCCCCTGCTCACGAGTTCGTAGCGGTTGAACTCAAATCGCATCACAAACTGCGAGCACTGATCGAAGTTGACGTCATCGGGCATCTCGAAGTAGTCGGAGACCAGCTGGGCGTCTTCGGCCACCAGCGTCCTGAAGACGTCGGGGTCGTAGACGACGCGGGCTGACGAGTAGATGTCCTTGATTTTCACGTACTCGATCGCATTCCTCATCTTCCTGGCCTCCTCCAGGCTGCTTCTTCTCAGGCGGACGTGCATCGCAGGCGTCCGGATCGTCTTCGCCGTGTTGATGATCTCGTTCAGTCTCGGAACACCCATCGTGATGGTCGACGCAACTCCAGCCAGGTGGAACGTGTTTAGCGTCATTTGAGTCGCTGGCTCGCCAACAGACTGTGCAGCAAGCGTCCCAACCATCTCATTCGCTGAAACAGCTGCATTTCTGAATTTGATTTCAATTTCCTTGATTATTTGCATGAATTCATGCTTAGTTAAGCTTAAAATGCATTGTTTTATGCATAATATACTTTTTGCATAATATGTCCACATTTTGTTCTGAGTGAGACCACAGATTCGTTCCACTTCTTCCAGCACGATATACGGTGACAAATCCAACTCATCTGCCCCCTTGTTCCTTGTCCTGTTCTTCTGAATTATTCTTCTTATGTTTGCTGGTGTTGCATACGATACGAGTCCAGCCGCATCCTTGTTCTCCAAATGCGTCTTCTCCAGGTACTCGTACTCCTCGTCCAGTCTCCTCTGCAAATCCATGTCATTCCTGAGCATCTCGTAGATCTCCCCTGATATCTCCCCTCTTTCTATTCCGTATTCCCTATCAACAAACATGTCCACGTAGTGGCTCCTCCTAGTTGGCTTCTCAATGTCAATTTTCTCTAGGCACTTTGCATCAAACCCATCTTCACCGTATTTGAATTGGTAGATCTTCCCTAGGCCATTTCTCACAGTCGCATCCTCACGAACCACCGCATCCTCCATCGCCTTCACAAGTCGTCGCTGAAGATACCCCGTCTCAGCCGTTTTGATTGCGGTGTCAATCAGCCCCTCTCTTCCTCCCATTGCGTGGAAGAAGAACTCCTGTGGCGTCATCCCAACCAAATACGAGTTGCTGATGAATCCCCTGCTTTCAGCCGAATAGTCGAATTTCTGGTAGTGAGGAAGAGTCCTCTTTTCGAATCCAAATGGAATTCGCTTTCCATCCACGTTCTGCTGCCCCACACACGCAGACATCTGCGCAATATTGATCTTAGACCCCTTTGATCCACTCTGAATCATCGCATTCATGTTGTTAGTTAGTGATATTTCACCCTCGTAGTCTCTGGCCCTGTTCAGTATCAAATTCACCTTTGATTCAAATGTGCTACCAATGTCCATTCCAGGCAGTTTCTCAAGCAGACCGTTCTTTGCGTCTCCAATCAGCGCATCCACCTTCGAAACAGCCTGTTTGATCGTCTCATCGCACTCGTGGAGCATCTCGCCATCCACGATCGTGTCGCCGACTCCGATTGAGAACGAGCTGATGTGGAACATGAAGTGCTTGATCAGCCGCTGGACGTTGTTGATGAAGACGGCCGCCGCCCTGCTGCTCAGGTCATTGCATATCACGTGAATCAGCCCACCTGCTGTTGCACCACAGACCTTCTTGTTCAATACGCCCTTGATGAGTAGCCCATTTTCTATTTTCACCCCACTTCCCTCAAAAGAGGCTGTTTCAGGCAGAATGGCAGAAAAGAGCTGAATTCCAGTCCAAAAGGAGTGGCCACCAGAGCGGATTGATGGATTCCGAATGAGGCGGGTCAGCCTCTCTGGTGCCACCTCAACTGCGTAGAGCAGGCTGAATGCCTCTCTCCTGTTGAAGAAGACGCTTTTGAGCGTGATGAGCCAGACGCCAACCAGGGTGTCCTGGACGATTCCAATCACGGGCTTGTTCGATTGCGGGCTGATGATGTTCTGGTGGACGGCAGCGAGGTTCTCCAGCTCGGAACGAGAGTTGTACGACTGCGGCATGTGCAGGTTCATCTCGTCGCCGTCGAAGTCGGCGTTGTAGGGCGTCGTCACCGACAGATTCAGCCTGAACGTCTTGTTTCCCATCACCTTGGCCCTGTGGCCCATCATCGACATCTTGTGGAGCGACGGCTGCCTGTTGAAGAGCACCACGTCGTTGTCGACCATGTGTCGCTCCACCACGAACCCCCTTTCGACTCGCAGATCAAATCGGTTGAATTTCAGGTCGATTCGCTGCCCATCGCTTCGGACGACGTAATTTGCCCCAGGATACGCGTTGGGCCCGTTATTCACCATTTTCTGGAGCTGATGGATGTTCGTCGAATTCACCTTCTCAGGAAACGTGTGGATCATGGCCACCTCAACTGGCACGCCAACCTGGTCCAAATCAATGGAGCTGTCTGGCGTAATCACCGTTCTGGCCGAGAAGTCGACTCTCTTTCCCATCAGGTTCCCACGGACTCGTCCTTCTTTCCCCTTCAGTCTCGCTGAAATCGACTTGATCGGTCTTCCGCTCTTCTGAGTCGCCATGGGCTGCCCAGACATCTCGTTGTTGATCAGCGTGGCCAGGTGGAACTGAAGCAGCTGCTCGTAGTCCCTGATGATGTGGCCAGGGGCTCCCTCGTGTTCGTACTTCTTCAGGCACCCATTTGATTTCACTATGTCAGCGTACTTGTGGGTGAGATCGTCTTCAGCCCTGAGGCCATCAGTCAGAATGGATGGGCGCATGCAGGGCGGTGCTACAAGCAGGACAGTCACCAGCATGTTCTCTGGCCTCGATTCCCTACTGAATCCAAGATGACCTAACTCCCCCTCATTAATCTTCCTGAAAATGTTGTACACTTTTTCACCATTTAGCACAATCTTCCCCTCTTCATCGTTTCCCTTCATCATCGCAATCAGAGAGAGACCCTCCTTCTTTATCGTAGGCTGCCTGTTGCAGCAGCCAATTCGCTCCCCCTTCTCGTTCTCAGAAGCACAGAGCATCTTCGTCTTCAATATGCTCCATGCATAATCTAATGCCGTATTTTGTTTGTTTGTCTTGTTCTTTAATGCACGGATGTCCCTGATTCGCGAACAGTAGAAGCAAACGCATTCAAGCAGCTTCTTGATCTTCGAGATGTATCCGACGTGGAACATGGGCTTGCAGAGCTCAATGTGTCCGAAATGGCCCACGCAGTCGAACATGGTGCCGTTGCACGTCTGGCACAGGAAGTCCTTTTCTGTCGTCCCCATCCTCAGGTCTATGAGCCCACCCTCCTTCGGAGTTCCATTCTCGACTGATTCCGGGTGCACTACGTGTGTAACTGACCCTCTTTTGATTTCCTCTGGTGAAAACAGTCCAAACTGGATTTCTGTGATTTTCTTGTTCAATTCCGTAAGCATGGGCAGAAAAATCAAAAAGTTTTTAGTCAAAATGGAGCTGGAATTGAACAAGAGCAGTTACGAGGAGAGGAAGATGGGCAGCAGGAGAATGAAGGCAGTCAGAGTGAGCAAGGACGAGGTATCAGGCTACTTGTGGAAGGGTGGAGTGAGACAGGCTGATTTGAGGTGGTTGAAACAGATTAAGAGAGTAAACAGCAACGAATTCCTGGTACTGGTTGGTGATGAATTTGGTAGCAATGAGACTCAGATTGAGACTGTGGCTGTTCCTACCTTCCAGCCACTCACGGATGAGCAGGTGGCCGATGCAAACAGCCTCTGGCCCACTTTGTACAAAAAGAAGGAAGAAGCCAAGGAATCCTTCATATCCCGCGATACTGTTGAAATTGAGGTGGAGAGAATGAGACAGAACCATCCAAAACAGACCAAATGCGTCGAATACGCCGTCTTCATCGACCACAACACCCTCATCTCCCGATTCAGCCTGAAACCAGGACCAGTCTCCCTCTTAGACCGAATCTTCAGCAGTCACATTTTGCTGAATTCGATCACGAAGGTGTCTCAGCACCAAAATGGAACGCACCTGTGCACTGGAACTGACCTGATTCTGAGCAACGAGCCCTGCTACTCGTGCGCAATGGCCCTGATCCACTGTCGAATTGGAAATGTGGTGATTTTGAGAAAGAGGGAAAATGGCGTATTTTCCAGGTGGAAACTGAACCAAAACGAGAGCACGAACCACCGCTTCAAAGTGTGGTTTCTGAGGTAGCCGCTACAAAACCAATTTACTCAGACGACTCCCGTACCGCTTTCTGCTTCCGAAAATGATGACCGTTTTGTCGAGCTTCATCAGCTCGTGCACCAGTGCGTCGCACTCGCTGTCTGGGAGCATCTGATCCATCCCATTCACCAGAATCACCGGGTTGTTTTGGATCAGCGCCCTCATCATCGCAACCTGGTGCTGCTCGAAGGTGGTCAAATCGATCACGTTTCGATCCAGGTCGACCAAAATGTCCTCGTAGCCGAGCACGCCGCTTTCTACGCCGTTGGACTCGATGCATCTCAGGTTGTCTGAGAGTGTCCCGTCGTAGAGGGCGATGTTTCCTGGAATTGGCGAGACCACGCAACTGCGCATAAAGACGCCTAGGGCCGAGGCAGAAATGACGCGGTTGTTGATGCGCAGCTGCTTCCCCGGAATCAGCTCCACCCCGGTCAGACACCGCACCAGTGCCATCCGCTTCTCGCTGCCGCAGTCAACGACCACCTTCTGCCCCCGTTCGATCTCGATATCGGGAATTCCAAATTCAGCCCCGTTTTGCAGGTCAAGGAGCCTGTCTTCGATTCGCAGCTTCTCGAATGCGACTGGCTCGAACTCAACGTGCTCAGGCGCCTTCAGCGACGCCATTGCGCTGCCACTCACCTTCGGAAACTCGGTGAAGAACTCCTCGATTCTGTCTACGAACTCCTCGAATTCCTGTTCAATCCCCTTTGCCACCTGCAGGTAGAACTTGAATACGCCTGGATCAGAGCAGTTGACCAGGAGAAGGTGCTTCTGGAAGACGAAGAGCGACCTCTTGATCAGCGAGAGAGTCGCAACCAGCAGCTTCTGAAGGAAGAGGAAGAGCAACTCGCCTTCGGCCGAGTAGCCGTAGGCGTCAAGGGCGACATCGACGGTGCCGTTTTCGACCAGAAAGCGGTGGTGCCGCAACAAGTCCACCGCCGTCTCGTTCTGCCTGTCGGAGTGGCCGTGCTGCTTCGACACGGCCGATCCAGCCAGAAATCGGACTGAAATGCCCTGCCATTTGTCTCCTGATCTGCCTCTGATTGAACCAGAAGCAGATGGCCTTGATTGGTGCGTAGTATCCGATGGCGACGAAGACCAGGCGGATGCTCTTTGCGAATCTGCTGCACTGGGCGTGGAGATTCTGGCCGATTTCAGTCGTGGCCCCTGGCTGCGACTTCAGGGCGAAGTCGTAGCTTGCGACGTAGCAGTCGCGCTGGACGAGTGTCTCGAGGGAGATCTTCGCGTAATCCGAGAGAAGTGGCATCAAATGGGAGAGAACCAGAACGAAGACGAAGAGACGTGTCTCCATCTTCGCGTCCTTCTGCTCGTAGGCGACCTTGCAGTCGAGTGACCTCACTTTCGCGTATTTGAGGGCCGTTCTGACTGAAAGCAGCAGCAGAAGCAGCCAGATCGCTGGCCCGTTGGTGAGAAGCCTCAGAAGGAGATTTCTAATCAGCATGGACGGTAAGAAAAATGTGCAAAATTTACCAATATCACACAAATGGTAGATTGAATAGGTTAATCCAAATCATTTGAATAGATTAATCTGACTCAGTCTAAATAGATCAATCTAAGTCATTCAAATACATCAACCATTCAACTCGAGACACTCCTTCTCGAAGTCACACGTGTTTAGCCAGTATTTGTGGAACATCATAATGAAGAGGGTGTTAGCTGCCTGAAAGACGAAGAAGGCATCGAGGTTCCTTTCGGTGAAGAGTGCCACGACGTCGCCTCCGACGAGAGTTGGCACCAGCGAGAAGAGGTAGAGCACCACGATGATCCCCAGGACGCCGTACGCCCAGATGTCGCTCTTCGTCTTCCTCAGCTTCTTCGTCTGCATCGACAGGTACATCAGCATTGCCACCGTATTCATCAGAATCACGACCAG